ACGTGTGGGTGGGGCGGTGGCAAGCGGCCCGTCAGTCGCAGGCACTGTGGCCTGAGGAGGATCGTCCGGCCAGCACCCCGTGGAGATGTGGGGCGGGCTGGATCACAGGTGGGCAGTGGAGAGGTTTCGGGGAAGGGGACCAGATCTTCTCTGGGGTAGCTGCTCGGATGGCATTTCTGCTTGCCGCAGGGCTTGGAACCCGGCAGCGGTGCTCCTTGGAGGGCGAAGGCGCCTGGCGGAGCCCTGGCTGTATCCAGTCCTGCCAGCCGGGAGCGATATGAGTCAGGGCAGGATGGGAGTGGGGGGTGAGGGGGGCTGGGTGTGGGGCTGCTGGGTGGCCGAGCTAAGCTTGGTGGAGGCACCCAGAGCTGCCTTTGAACAGGCCAGAGACAGTGGAGGGGCAGCCCCGAGCGGGGAGTGCCAGTGGACCTCTGGGCTGGCCTGAGGCAGCACCGCCCCCCCCCCCGCGGACTGAGCTGAGCACGCGGAGGGGCCCCGGGCCCCTCCGCAATGGGAGCTGCACTGGCAAGCCCTGGCTGGACCCCACACTGGGCAACGGTGGAGCCGCGGGCCAGCCCTGCGGGGGGGGGGTGGACTTGGAGCGGCCTCGGCCGCGCCCCCTTTCGGCAGGCTTCAGAGCTCCTTCCCTGGACCCTCACCAAGGGTGGGGGCTGGCGCGGGCTCCGCTGCCTCTGGAAGCCGGGCAACAACACGTCTCTCGCTCTTCCGGTTCCTCTGGATTCTAGGAAGGTTTGTTCCCAGGAATGCCGTGCTCTGGGGCCAATTTGGTTTGGCAGCCACTGCTACCGAAGGGGGAAGAGCACCGCTTCCCATCCAGCGTGCCCCGCCTGAGCTGGCTCCCGGGAGAAGCCGAGGAATCCAGCATGAGGCCACGGATGTGGGGGGCAGCCCGGGGTTCTGTGCTGCCGAGGCAGCCCGACTTGCGCCACGCCACGCCACTGTGGCAGCCACACTCCCAGAGTGAGGCGGGGGCCCTGCAGAGGCTGCCTGGCACGCCACGGAGGCGGTCGGGGAGCCCCCGCAGCGGCCTGCCTGGCCAAGGGGCGCCAGCAAAGCCTGACCAGGCGCCAGAGACGGGCCAGGGTCAGCGTCACCCCCATTAGTGTGTCCCCGCTCAGAGGCTGGGCCATGGCGGAGGTCAATGAGTGGGCAGGGGGCTCTCGGCCGGCCTGCCTGCCTGGGAGGAGGCTGGGGGAGGGTCCTTTCCTGCTCTGCTCCCCAAGAGAAGGCTGTGGGTGCTGCGGAAGGATGGGAAATGCTTCCTGCTGGGGCTGAGGGTGGGGAGCCGAGCGCAGCTGGCAGGCCCTGGCGGGGTGGGAGGCAGTGGCCACCGTCTCTGGACTGGGCAGCGCAGGGCACAGGCTGGGGGCTTTGCTGGGGAGGAGGGGGGGTCCCCAGGCCAAGGGGCTTGGCGGGTTGTGCTGGGGCGGCGTCCCACTGGCCGTGGCGGCCCCTTGTTGCGGGGAGGGCGGGCTGCTACTTCTCCCCAGCAGTGGGCCCAGGACGAGGGGGCTGACCAGCCTGTCGCCAGGGGGACAGGAGGCACTGTGAGGGGCCCGCACAGCCCCGGGGCCTCCATCCCGTCCCTTGGGCCTGAGCGGGGCCACTTGAGCCAGCCTCAGGGCTCCTCTGCTGCGCTCACCCCAGCAGGGAGAGGCGGCCTGGCGAGGAGGAGGACTGGGCTACCCACGCGACTGGCAGGGTGTGCGCCCTCCAGCCAGGCGGGGCCTCTCCGGCGCGGCAGGGCAAGGGCCCGGGCCGAGTCCCTTACCTGCAGTTCAGCGCAACCCGCACCGGGGCATTCCCGAAGCATCGCCGGCAACTCGCCCGAGTCCCGGAGCCCCGCCTGGAGCCTCTCCAGGTTGGGCAGCTGGGGAGGAAACCGCGCTTGGCGCCCGGACGTGCCCGGGCGGATTCGGCGGGGATGCGCAGCCCGCGGGGCGCCTTGTGGGACGCCTGCCTGCACCTGCCGGGCTTCTCGCAGGTGCTCGGGCTCCTGCCCCTCCTGCCGGCCGCCCCCCGGGGCCCGGCCCCCCACGCCGGCCCCAAGGGAGGCCCTCCCGCATTCCAGCGCGCGCGAGCGAGCGAGCGAGGGAGCGCGCGCCCTCCTCCGCCGGCCAGCCCGGCCCTTGGCCGGCGCCGCAGACGGGGCGGGCGCACTCGGCGGCCTGGGGAGCGCGGGAGGGGCCTCGGCCGGGCGCCCCCGCAGCCCAGCCCGCTCGCCCAGGAGCCCGTGGCCGCGGAGACGCGCCTGGCGGGCCGCCTGCTCAGCCAGCGCCACCGGCGCACACGCACAGCGCGCTCGTCTGGCACGAGGGAGGCCGGGTGGCGGCGGCAGCTCGACCTGCTGGCGGGGCGTCATCCGGGGAGGCGGGGGCGGCGCGCGCCCGGCCGCTCGACCCTCGGGCGCGGGGAGGGGGGGCGCGGACGTGTGGCTCGTGTGTCCCGGCAGCGCGCGCCGAGCGCCCCCGGCGCCGGGGGCCCGACCGGGGAGACGCGGGCTGGGCAGGAAGGGGCTGGGCGGAGCCGAGCCGAGCCGAGCGAGCGGCGGGAGGGCCTTCTCCCCGTCGCGGCCTCGGCTCGCCCCGGCCCTGGGCAGGGTGCAAGCCACGGCCCCGCCGGCCAGGCCGCCGAGCGGCTCGCTTGCTTGCGCGCCTGCCCGGCCGAACACCCCGGTGCCGCGTCCCCGCCCCCGCTGCTCGCCTCAGTGCGGAAAGACAACAGAGCGCCCGCCGAGCCCCCCGGTTCCCCGAACGGGGCAAGGCTGGGCGGGGGAGGACGGCTTCTCCCCTCCCGCCAGAGCTGCTGCCAGTCCGAGGACAAAGCGCGCACCGCTCTGCTCTGCTCTGCTGGTCCGTGGAGGCGCGCAGACCCATCGGGCATGAGGCTCGAGGGCGCCCCCCGCTGAAGGCAGCAGGCCCGGCTGCTGGGTAAGTCGGCGGGGCTTGCAGGCTCGGCCCAGGAATATCCGTGTCAGGAACTCCACTGGGTTCAACATGCACAACTGCTTGTGAGTGACAGGCAAAGCTCTTTCAACCCTCTTTCAAGGTCTGGTGCGGGGGTAAGCACCTGCAGGTGGCAGGTGGCCATAAGCTCACAGACGGACAGCAGCGCTGGGCCGGCCGCTTGCACGGCCGGCTCCGTTCGGACTTTGAAAGCTGCCACCTGGTTCCACGCGGACATGGCAGGGAGGCCTTCTCAGTGGTGGGGCCAGACCTCCGGACTGAGCTTCCTTTGAGAGTTATCAGGCTCCCGCTTCCGGGCCTCACAGGACAGAATCACTGGTCCTTGCTGGGTTTCTCCAAATCGTGGGCTGCTGGTTTTATTGGTGGGAACCATTTTTGTGTCATGCTGCCGTTTCAAACTGTTTGCCTTGTAAGCTGCGCCGGGAGGATTCTGCTCTCTGAAGCAGCAGAGAAATGAAATACAGCATTTCGGCCTGTGTGCGTTGCGGGTCCGCTCAAGGGGCTCTTGAAGGCCTGACAAAGCAAGACGTGATGCTTTTCGGCCAGATTCAGTGAGGACTGTGATGTGGTTCACCTCTTGGGGAGAGCAGGATCCAGCCACGGCCTGGATCCAAGTCAAGGACGGCCCCCTGGGAGCAGCGCCCCCATGCTGGGCCTCGTGCCTTGGGCCCAGAGTCTGGCGCCCTAGAGAGGGTGGCAGGTGATGGGCAAGACAGGCCTGCCGGCTGCGCTTGGCTTCCCCGTTGCGTGCTCAAGCGCCCCAGAGAAGGAGCGGTCGCATCAGGCCAGGCGACATGGATTGAGCTGGAAAAGGGCATTCCATGCGGCTCTCACTGTCTTCCCGAAAGGAATGCACACCTGGGAGCAACTGCCCCGTGTGCTCCAGCGCATGCGCCGGCTGCAGGCCACCGGGGAGCGTGCACATGGCCTGCGCTGCCTTCCCAGCGCTGAGCTGGGGCGCCCGGCTCCGCTGTGCCAGGGACCCCCAGTCCTTCTGCACACGCATCTGCAGCGAGGCTGCCTCCCGGCTGGGCTGCTGGACGGAGTCGCTAGCGGAGCCTGGAAGTCACATGGCTTGGCGTGGTGTGGCTGGGAGGCAGGCCCGTGGCTGGCAGGGGCCGCCGCGCATTCCACATGCTTGCGGGAGCCTCATTCCGAGTGCGCCGGCCTGGCCTTCCGGAGGCCGAGTGCACACACAGAATGCAGCCACGCCCTGAAGGGAGGCCTGCAGGTGCGGCTGGGAGAGGGGCTGAGAAAGGGACGTGGGGCGGCCCATTGATGGGCCGCCAGCCTGATCTTTCCTTTGGTGTCCTGGCCGTGAGGGAGGTGCAGATGCCGCTAGGCCTGCTGGCCACGCATGGGCCGGAGACGCATGGCCAGCACCCTGCCCTGCTGCGGGAGTGGCCCTCCCGCGCCTGTGCGCTGCTCGCTCTCTGGCCTGCCGCTGGCCATCGTGGGCCTTCCCGGGTGCTTGGTGCGGGGGCCGCCAAGGGGAAGGGGGTGCTTGGAGCCCCTGCCCGGGCAGCCTGGCAGCACCTGCTGCCCCCGAAGTGCAGTCTCTGCAGGCGGCCTGGGGAAGGCGGGGAACTGAGTGCAGCAGCCGGAGGGGTGCCCTGGCCCAGCGGCCCCCAACTGCCTCCCAACCCCCCCTTGCTGGGAAGGACGTCTGCTAGCAGGGAAGCCCATGGGGCGCAGGGCCCAGGAAAGGGGAGGGGCGCTACTGAGTGGGCTGCGGGTGCCGACCACCACCCAGGGGGCCCCGAGACGCCTTCTCTAAGCAAGCGGGCTGCGTGGTGCCCCTTGCGAGATTCTCGGGCGCCAAGCTGGGCAGGGCAGTGCTCGGATTCTGCCGGAGCAGCGTAGGCTCCCTGGCTGGGGGGGGGGGCAGAGTGGGGGGCAAGCCTGCCTCGCCGTGAGGGCACATTCACATCCAGCGGTGTGCAGAGGGGCCGCTCGGGGGCATCGGGGGGGGGGTCCGGGGAGCCGCCTCAGCCCCTTTCCTGACTTCCGCAGGTTGAAGTGCCTCGCCAGCGCCCGGCCCCCCACTGACAGGAGCAGCCCCTCATCGCGGTGCCGCTCGCCATGCATTCCCTGGACGAGCCGCTGGACTTGAAGCTGAGCATCTCCAAGCTCCGGGCGGCGCGAGAGAAGTGCGCCCGGGCCCTGGGCGGCCCCCCCTGCCACGCCCAGCCCCGCGAGCCCCGGGGCCCCGAGGAGGACGCCGGCGTGGTCAGCCCGGCCTCCCCCCCGTCCCCCACCGACAGTGAGTGTCCCGGTCGCCTGGGGGTGAGCGGCACTGGTGCTGCGGACGCCGCTCCTTGGGGTCTGGGGGCGGGCGCCAGGGCGGGGGCAGGACCGGGCCCCTGGCTGCCAGCTCAGCGCCCCCGGTGCGTCTCCCACAGGCCTCCACTCGCACCCCCGAGGGCGGGACAAGAGGGACGCCCGCTTCTGCGCCTCACCCCCCACCATCGACCTGAGCCTGTCCCCGCCCCCGCCGGGCTTGGACTCCCCCAACGGCAGCACCTCGCTCTCCCCGGACAGGCAGAGCGGCGGGGAGTTGGTGAGCGCCTGCAGCCTGCGCGTGAGTCGCCGGAGGGCCCGGGAAGGGGCGGGGGGCGCCCAGACCTCCTGCGCGGAGCCGGCCTCGTCCCGGAGCCCTGGCTCGGCGGCCTGACTCTCCCGGGGTGCCCAGGGTGGGGAGGGCCCCGTCTCCCTGATGGGCAGGGGAGGGAGCTGAGGCCCCCGTGGTGCCCCCCCCGGCAGCCAAGCCGCGTCTCCTCCAGACACCGCTGCTTCCCACTCTCCCCAGGATCTCGAGTCGCTGCGCTACATCGACGGCCTCCGAAGCTCCTTCCAGTTCTTCCTGCCCCTGAACTCGGGGGGCGCGCTGCACCTGCCCCCCTCGGCCTTCCTGACCCCTCCCAGGGAGAAGCGGCTCTCCCCCGACCTGTCCCTGCCCAAGCAGCTGGTGTGTCGCTGGTCCAAGGTGAGCCGTGGGGCCTGTGGGGGCGCTCTGGGGCCGGGCCGGGCCGGGCCGCTGCCCCCACTGACCACGGGCCTCGCTCTCTGTGCCCGGCAGTGCAACCACCGCTTCGACCTCCTGCAAGACCTCGTGGACCACGTGAACGACTGCCACGTGAAGCCCGAGAAGGACGCAGGCTACTGCTGCCACTGGGAGGGCTGTGCCCGCCACGGGAGAGGCTTCAACGCCAGGTGACCGCAGCGGGCGTCTGGGGCGGCCCCCATGTGGGCCGTGCCCCGTGGGGCGGGGGGGCGAAGGCCTCCCCCCCGGGCTCCTTGGAGGGGCACCGGGCGGTGGGAACGCTTCCCGGCCGGAGCCGGGCGCGCTGGAGGGCCGCTCTCGGGCGTCGCGGGCAGCGGGGCAGCCAGAGAGCATCGCGGCCCCGACCCGACAGGCCCCGTGCTCTTCGGCAGGTACAAGATGCTCATCCACATCCGCACCCACACCAACGAGAAGCCGCACCACTGCCCCACCTGCAACAAGAGCTTCTCCCGGCTGGAGAACCTGAAGATCCACAACCGCTCCCACACGGGTGAGCCCACGGGGCTTGGGGCCCTCACACGCTGCGGCCCTGCGGGGGAGCCGGGGGGGGGGCCGGGGCCCCCCCCCCGGGGCCCCGGGGGGGGGGGACTGCCCTCACGGGCCACGCGTGGCCGCCCGGAGGAGCGGGAAGCGGCGGCCTGGGGGGTGAAGGGGAGGCCCCGGGGGCTCGGGCCCCCCCGCCCGCCGGGCCCCTCACGCGCCCGCTCTGCCCGCCCGCAGGTGAGAAGCCGTACAGCTGCCCCTACGAGGGCTGCAGCAAGCGCTACTCCAACTCGAGCGACCGCTTCAAGCACACGCGCACCCACTACGTGGACAAGCCGTACTACTGCAAGATGCCCGGCTGCCACAAGCGCTACACGGACCCCAGCTCCCTGCGCAAGCACATCAAGGCCCACGGCCACGCCATCTCCCACGAGCAGCAGGAGCTGCTGAAGCTGCAGCCCCCCGCCAAGGCCCCCCTCGCCGCGGCGGAGGCGCCCTACCTCGGCGGGGTGCAGATCGCCCTCCCCGGCCCGGCCGGCCTCTTCGGCGGCCACGGCCTGGCCGGCCTGCCCCTCCCGCTCGCACCGGCCCCGCTGGACCTCAGCACCTTGGCCTGCGGCGGCCTGAGCACCGCGGCCATCGCCGGCCTGCCCGGCCCCGTCCTGGCCCCCCTGAACTTGGCCAAGAGCCCGCTCCTCTCCTCGCCCTTTGCGGCGAGCGGCCTGGGGCTGCCCGTGGTCTCCCTGCTGGCCGGCGCCTCGGCCAAGGCCGGCGCCCAGAGGGGCCACGGGGGGGCTGCTCGGCCCCCCCGGGGCGGCAGTGGCGGGCGGGCTCAGGGCCCCCAGAGCTGCAAGGAGGCCAGCGAGAGGACGGAGCTGGCCCGGCTGCGCCAGACGGCCGAGAGCCTGGCGCTGCTCCCGGGGGGCGTCCTGGACCTGTCCACCGGCGTGAACTCTGCAGGGGGGGCCGAGGCGCTGTCCCCGGGCTGGGTGGTGATCCCGACGGGCTCGGTCTTGCTGAAGCAGGCGGTGGTGAACTGAGGGGCGGCCGGCCCAGCGCCGCTCGCTGTCGGGGTGGCCCAGCCGGCCGCGGACGAGTCTGCCGTGGCCGCCTCCCTCCCCCCAGGAGAGAGAGCGGCCGCTTCTGCGTTGCGTCTCTGTGCCTTGAGACTTCTCGTGGAAGGAGCCCCCCCCGTCAGAAGGCGGCGCTGCCCCCCCCCCGGGCGCACGGCCCCGCTCCTCCCCTCCTCCGCACGGGGCCACCCTCGACTTCGACACACACGACGGGGGAGCTTGTCTCCCCTGAGCTAAGCAATAAACTCACTTTCCTTCAGTGGCCACCGTGACCCCCGACTGCAGCAGCGCTGGGGGCTTCCCTCCAGGGGTGCCGGCGGGCCTCTGCCCCCGCACTCCTCCTCGGCTGGCACCTCTCCTCGCGGCCTCCCACTTGCCGCCCGCCTGCCCCAGACCAGCAGCCTGCGAGACGGTCCGTCGGTCCGTCTCCTCCTTCCGGAGGACGCCAGCGGGCACGGCAGACGGCCCTGCTTCCCCCTGCACCTCACGGCCGTTCCCCCAGCTGGCCCCCCACAAGGCCCCCTCCCTGGGCGTCAGTGGCCGCTGCCCCCGGAGGCCCCGGCCCAGGAGGCCCTCTGTGGCTGCGGTGCACTGGCGTGGGGGGCCATGGCACGCCCCCGGGATCCCCTGCCCCCCGACAAGGCGCACCACTGCGTGTGCCGCTCAGCAGGCCTTTCCCTGACGGGGGGACCAGAGCGGTGCCCCCCCGGCGGTGGCTGCACTGGCTCCAGCTGTGCAGCACCCAACACGCTACCTGGACTGGCCGGCGGGTGGGAGGCCTGGAGGGCACCGTGGCATCTCACCCGCAGGCCTGCACGGTGCGCTCCGGTCAGGGCTCTTCGGCCCAGGCCAGCCACGGACGGCAGCTCCTGGGGGGCCTTCATGTGCTGCTGCCCCAGAGCCCCCCAGCTAGGCCCACTGTGGACAGGGAGGGGTGCTGGATGACCCAGCCAGGCCCAGCCGATCAGCCCATGTGGCAGGCAAATGGTGATGGGGGGATGAGCGCCCCCGAGGAGCACCCCGCGCCCCTGGCCTGGGCATTCAGTGGATGCGAGGGGCCCCCAGCCCGGATGAGGCCCCTCCGAGAGGCAGGGGCACCCTGCCGAGGCCCCGCCTGCTGCGAAGGTGGCACTTGGTCCTGCCACAGCTGGCCCTCTTGAGCCCCAGCAGCCTCTCCAGCTCCCCAGCAGTGGGCCTGGAGCTGGCCGCTTGCCCCCAACCCCTGCTGGGGCGCTCTGCTTACCTCTCGACCGCCCTCCCCATCGGAGGGCCCAGACGTGCTGCCGCTCCCTCTCCTGGCACAAGGGGGTCCCTGTGTACCTCTCCGCGTCCCTGCTGCAGTGGGACCCCCGCTGTGGGCTTCCACCGCACAGGTTCCTCCTGGGCTGTGGCCCCTTCCTGCCTGCCACAGCTGTCGGTGGGGGAGCCTCCGCCAGCCCTAGCCCCCCTCCCCCCGTGTTGTCATGGTGGCCCGGGACTGTGCCCCAGCCAGCCCAGGGGAGCTGGACTCCCGGACATGCAGCGGGAAGCTGCGCATGCGTTTGACCGCGGGCCAGCGGCCGGTGGCACTCTAGGGCAGACTCTGGCCCAGGGCGATTTGCTGACTGACCAGGCCGACGAGCCGGTGTATGTCTCTGTGTTTTCTGTCTGTCGTCGCCCAATGCAGGCCATCAGTATTTTAACAGTTTCTAAGTGCCTTTCAATTGTAGATTATGTTGGGTTTCCTTCCTCCTCTTGCCTCCATCACTGTTAGCATAGTTAAGACAGAAAAGGATAAGCTATAACCTGACCCTCTGCCCCCCCCGGGGGGGAGGACGGCTATTATGAAAACAATAAAGTGGATCAAAGACCTTCCCGGATGCTGTCTGCTGGGGTGGGGCGGAAGCGCTGTGCTGGGAGAGGGTGCTGGCTCGGGTGTGATGCGTACGCTCAGGTGGCTTGTGGATGCTGGATAAAGCTCCTGTCTGCCACACAACCCAATCCTGCCTTTGAGAGCAGAACGTGGCCTTGTTTGCTTGCTTCAGCCACACGGCAGAGAGATGGGGAGGGGGCAGCCCAGCTTTGACCGCAGGCTCTGCCACTCAGACCCCCACCGCGGGACGTGGAGGCTCCACCTGCAAGGCCGTGCTCACAGGCCCCGGCCCTGGTTCCCTGGGGCAAGAGCTTCTACTAAAAAAGGGGGCTCGACAAAGAAAAGGTGTCCTGTCTCGACTGCTCCAAGCCCAGCGCGACTGCACAGGGCTGGCCAGATGCCTCTGAAGGGCACTGCCGGGGCAGGAGAGCCGTGCTCCCGCCAGCCCGCACTCCCCAGCACAGAGGCCGGTGGTCTGAGACTCCATGGCAGCCGCTGCTGACAGCCCGATCTTGCCTGAGTCTCGGCTCCCGGCCTGCTCCTGTTGGTGGACGGGCCAGAGCGAGTAGGCGGGCGGCGGCGGCAGTGGTGGTGGTGGTCAAGGGTTCTCTGGCCAAGAGGAGGCGGCCCCCGTGAAAGCTAATGGCCCACGGCTGGTGGGCGGCCCTGGCAATGCACGCTGCGGTTCCCCGCACCCTCTGTAGCCACCGCCTCTGGACGAAACGCCACGGCAGCGAGGTAAACAAGGGCAATTTATTGGCTAGCAATAACTTAAGCGGGAGGCTGGTGTGGGCAGGACGGTTCGCTACGTGTCCGGCTTGCGCTCTGGATTGTGCTCCTGCCGGTGCTGGATCTGCAGCTCCTCATCCAGCCGCTCCTTGGCTCTCACCACCTGCAGGGCAGACAAGGTTGGCACTCCGGAGCTGCTCCAGAGCCGCAGCTGACAAAGGGACCAGGCGCACCAAGGGCAGCCGCCAGGGGGCAGCACAAGCCAGGGCTTGGCCCTCTTGGACCCTGGAACCGCCTCGCAGGGAAGGTGCGGGGAGGCACAGGCGCTTGGGCCACGACAGACGGGCCTCCCTCTTCAGGCCCTGAGCAAACACACCGCGGGCGAGGACAGCTGAGAAATTGACGGGGAGCACCAGTCATTTTGTGGGGGCAGCACAGGATGCGCACACACAACACAGCGAAACGCAAAGGCAGCTAGTCTGTTCTTAAGAAAAACACCAAAATCAGTCCTGAAACAACTGCAACTCAAATTGTCGGCCACAGCTCAGACTTCGTTCAAAAACCTCTCGATGGCTCACACGTGTCCTCACAGTTACACACTTAATACAAAAGTTCTGCCCCGGCTTGACACGGCAACTGTGGCGCCTGGTTTTTGTAGGGCAGAATGGCTTCAAAATGCCCCGAACACCTGCAAGTACTGCAACGGGGAGAGGAAGTCTCTAACCCAGGCTCCCCCCACCCAGTTTGCCCCAGTGTGTTCACTTGCAATGCCCATGATCCCCAGCCAATGTCTGGAAGGCACCAGTGTTGGGACAAGCTGCTCCGGCCCCTCAACTAAGAGGCCAAGGCCCCCCAGAGCCCTGGGCTGACGCTCAGGCAAGGCCATGCGTGTGCTGGAAGAGGCGGCTGTGGCTCTACCGCCTCCCACCAGGGCGACAAGCTGGGCCTCCCCCACTCACCTTTGACTGCAGGTAGAAAGATCCCCCCACGGATTTGTCGTTCACCTTAAACAAATGGGCATAATTCTGCCAAGGAAAATCAAAGAAACAAGTTTGCTCAAGCCGGCACCAACTGGATCACCACGGTGGGGCTTCTGGGGGCTCAGACGGCCAGACCAAAGGGGCCAGCAGAAATTCTGCTCCCTGCAGTGGCCAGCTAGACCCTCCCCGAACCCGCAGAGCGGAAAGTCATCTCCCGGGTGCGCCTCTCTGGCGCAGCATGTACAGGCGCACTGCCTCTGAAAGCGCGCACTGCACTCGGCTGTGCAGCTACCGTCCCCTCGCAAGTTTTTATGCTCCTCTTGACACGGAGCCAACCCCACTTAAAGACGCACCGGCTCCGCCGGACCGCCCCGGTAGAGCCGCTCACCCCCGTTCGTTGATCGACTCGGCCCTGAGGGCCCCACGGCTACCAAAAGGGCAGGGGTCCAGAACCGCCGCGCGCTTCGCGGGGCTCCCCGCGGCCGGGCCGGGGCTCTGAGCAGGCCCGGCGAGCCGGGCAGTCCGGCGCGCCGACCTCAAGCGCGCGGCGTTACCTTCTCAATCTCCTCGGGGCCGAGTCCGGACACGTTGAGGATCTGCTGGGCCTCCTGGAGGCTGAGCCCGGACGCGCTGGGGGCTGCCGCCGAGCGGGGCCCTCCGCGCCCGCGAGCGTCCGCCGCCGCCTGGCTGGCTGCGTGGAGAGAGGCCCGGCCCGGTCACAGCGCGCGGGCGACGCGCTGGCCGCCCCGCCCCCCCCCCCGCGCGCTGCCGAGCCGCGGCACTGCCCTCCGGCCCGGCCCGGCCCGGCCCGGCCCCACGGAGCGAGGGTCCGGCGGGGCCCGCGCGGCTCCTACCTGCGAACTCCTGCCGCAGCGCCCGGGCGAAGGCTCGGCCCACCACCTGCACCCCCACCAGCACGATCTGCGCCAGGTACTTGGCCTGCAACGAAGCGCGCGCGTCAGCCGGGCCCCGCTCCCCGGCGCCCGCGCCCGCGCCCACCCCGGCCCGCGCCCGCGCCTCACCATGGCTCCCCGGGGCCTCACTCCGACGGCTCCCTCGAGGGGCGCGCAGGGCTCGAGGACACCATAGAGGTCCGGGCGGAGCGGCTCCCGGAAGCCGGAAGCCGGAGCAGCGCGGGGTAGCGCTCCGGTCCGGTCCGCGAGCGCGCTGCGGCCCCTGGCGGCGGGAGGTGGCACCGCGCCCGAGCGCGGCCCCACTCCTTGAGCGCCCCCGCAAGGGCCGGCGCGGGCTGCAGGTCCCTGCCCCGAGGCCCCCGGGACGCGCCGGGGCTGCCGCCGTGTCTCCCCGCTCGCCCCGTCCCTGGCCAGGAGCAGGGGGCCTCGCCGCCCCGTGGCGCCCTGCTGCGGAGCCTTCCCGCCGCCTCCCCCGGCAGGGCTGCTCCTGGCCGAGGGAACGGCCTCGGGTCCGGCAGGATGGAGCCCGCCCGCCCGGGTTTGCGGGGTGGGCGCTCCAGGGGGGCGGCTGGGAGGACCGCCTGAACGTCAGCGGCTGGCCGGCTGGCAGGGATGCAGGAGGGGCTGGGCTGGACCGGGGCCCTCTTCCGGGTCTAGGGCTCCACAGGCTGCCCTGGCCCCAGAAAGGGGAGCAGGGTGCTCAGGCAGCCACTCCCAGCCCTTTGCAGACAAGGCAACACCCGCAAGCGAGGGTCTCTCCAGCCCCCCCCCCCCGCCCTTTCCTGGAAGAGGCAGCAAGCGCCGAGATTCTCCCTCTCCCAGAGGGATGGGGGTCCAGGAGGGGTGGGATCTGTGCTATGGTGGACATGCTGCCGCCTCCCGCTTCTTTACACGCCTGTTCCCGTTCCTTAAAGTGAAGCTTTTCCCAGCAGGGAAGTGAAATGATGGAGAAAAAAGGAAGGCCGGGCAGAGGAGGGGGAAATGTGTGTGTGGATTGAACGCAAGACACGTGAGCCAAGAGGTTTAGCACAACTTTTCGTATTGCAGCCACATGCACAGCCAGACAGAACCGCTTGCAGGGAGGGGGTTCTGCCGGGGGAACCCAGCCAAGGGACGGCGCTCTGTCTCACGGTGCCGGCACCATCTGCTCCCAGGTGTCCAGCCAAGAGGCCGCTCTGGCTAGGGGGGCTGCAGAACGTCTTCCTCTGCCCTCGTTGCCACTCCATCTTGCAGCAGGCGCCAAAGCCGGAGGGTGTGCTCAAGCAAGATGCCCCCAGGCAGGCCAGGTCCTGGGGGGGGGGTAGGACTCAGCGTAATGAGGGACAGCTCCACGGGCAACGGAGAGGGCGAGGGGCCAGCCGCCCGAAGGCCACGGCCTCCGGGCCGGCCCAGGGCCCACCCCACCACACTTGATGCCCCGTTTGGGGCGGGTGCAGAGCAAGGGCGCCTCCTCGAGGAAGGCACTGCCGCTCCGTCAGGCCCAGAGCCGCTGTCCGAGGCTGAGGCTGGGTGGCTCCCTGAGCTTGTCTGTAAACACGCGACTCAGGCAGAGGCTGGGTGCCCGGCACTGGGCCCAGGCGGTGCAGGGGAGGGGGCCGGATTCCTGCCGTGGGGCTGCAGAGGGGCGGCGGGGCAGGTGAGGAGGCCGGGAGAGGAAACTCGGTGAGATCCCGGCCGTTCTGCATGCCTGCAGGAAGGCGGTGCCTGGCCCAGAATGGCAGTGTGTGGAAGACCACGAGGAGAAGCTCTGGGCTCCACAAGCAGCAGGCAACATGGGTCGTCTGGGCGGAAAAGTGCTGGCAGCCCATCTCAGCCTTCCGGGCTAGTCCTACGGAGCAGGAGACACAGGCAGGCTGAGGAGAGGCCCAGGACAGCTGCCCGGGGCAGCCCTCCCCTCGTTCGGGGGCTCGGGAATGGCATTGAGGAGATGGCAACCAGCCCCGTGCTGAGGAATCGCATGGCGCACAGGGCTATGTGGCATCCCGCGCCCCTGAATGCGCCAGGGCCTGAGGCAGGCCTCGCCTGCCCCCCATGCGCACTCTAGGTGGGCTTGGACGGTGCCCACGGGCCCCTGGGCTCCAGCACAAGCCACGCAGGGTCTGCCCCTTCCGTGTGCGCAGAGCCTCCTTACCCACTCCTCCTCGTCCACTCCCTCGAAGGCGTCCTGTGGCAGCGGGCCGTCCTGGTTGCCCAGCTTGGCCACCATGGCGCTGAGCAGCTGCAAGGCAGAGAGGCGATCTGGGGCGGGGGGCACACGGCCACGGCTCGTCCCAGCAGGGGGCTCTCTGTGCTCTGCCGAGCCCGGCTGCCTCCCCGGAAGAGCTCGGCCAGAGCCCGCCAGCCCGGCTGCCCACCCCGCCCGGCCCAGCAGAACGGGCTCACCTCCTCCTTTTTCTGCTCATCTGACTTCTCCTCCAGGTAGACGGAGGATGGGACATACTTCCTGCTCGGAGCTTCCTTCGGCGCTTTGCTCACTGCGAAGGGGCGTGGAAATGGAGTGAGGCTGGCTACTGCCTCTATCGCAGCCTTCCTCGCCCCGTGTCCTCTGGACGGGTTGGACTACAGTTCCCAGAATGCACCAGGATGGGGAAGGACAGTCTAGCCCAGTGATGGCGAACCTTTTAGAGACCAAGTACCCAAACGGCAACCCAAAACCCACTTATTTATCGCAAAGTGCCAACACAACAATAAAACCTGAATACTGAGGTTTTAGTTCAGAAAAAACAACTCACAGTCAGTCTAAGCAAATATATATATCCTTGGCAGCGCACTGACCAGCCATGTGAACGCTCGGACGAGTCGCAGCTAATTAGTCACGGCTCGCAATGTCATCGCCTGGCGCCGCGACTCCTTTCCGAGCATGCGCATGGCCCCTATGTGCGCTGTTATGCGATGCTTGGCTGCTGGGGCGATGCTGGGGCGACCTGGCTTGCATGCTGACAGAGAGGGCTCTGCGTGCCCGCTGTGGCACATGTGCCATCGGTTTGCCACCACTGGTCTAGCCCATGGCTCTGGCAGCTGGTCTCCCCGCAGAGTCCTGGGCTGCCCTGCACCCACTGCCTGGTTCTCCAGGGGCTGCCCTGCATCAAAAGAACTTGCCTGCGATGGGAGAGGCCGCCTCAGAGCGCTGGGCTGGAAAGACTTCCTCAGAGCGCCCCATGCACTGCAGCCAAGGCACCCCCCAACAGCGCCCCCCGGCCACCTCTTACCCGGGGTCATGTCCTCGGGCTGCAGGCTGAGCTTCCGGTGCTGCCCGTCCGAGCCCTGCAGCCAGGCGGCGGCGGACAGGGCCGGTTCCCACCACACGTCCGTGGGTGGGTACAGGTCATCCTGGAAAAACTCTTTCTGTGGAGACAGGAAGGGCACGGGATCGGGTCTGAATGGCACACCCGCATCCACCAGGGCCCACGGGGGCCATGCGGGATGCGCCAGGCTGCAGGCCGCATGCACGGCGAAGTGCCCTGGGCACTGGCTGGTCTGTGGCGGCCTCCTGAGCCTTCCTTGGCACCCAGGCAAGCAGCAGCTGTGCCGAACGGGCTCTTCCTCGGCCAGCCACGTGTGCTGCCCGGCGGGTCCTCGGAGGGCGTTTGAGCGGGGGAGAGGGCAGAGGAGGCGCAGGGGGCCGGACAGGCAGAGGGGCTCAGCTCCAGCCAAGGGGCTCCAAGGGGGTCGTGAGGGCGCCGGGTTACGTACCTTGACTCTGGGCACCCGGAAGGCCACGGGCTCGATGGAGTTCTGGCGCAGGCGGACGGCCCGGGCGATCTCGACCTCTCGCACATCACATGCCGTCTTGGGCAGGAACTGGAAGCCCTGTGGGCACCGAGAGCAGGACCCCATGGGTGCTGGCCCCAGGCGGGCACAGCCCCCCCTCCGCAAGGCCCCTCCCCTCCCGCCTCCTCACCTTGTGGGGGTCGCTGGACAGGAAGCTGTTGCATTCCAGGAAGAAGGGGGCCTCGGGGAGGACCTCGTAGATGTACATGCGGGTGTCTCCCTATGCGGGTGGGAGGCGAGGGGTTGGTGCTGCACTGAGAGGGGGTGCCTGCCAGCGAAGGCAAGCACGCTGGGGGCTCTCTCAGGGAGGGGGAGCCCGGCAGCGCAGCAGCTCTGGGCTCTGGAGGGAGACAGCCCTGTCCCCGCCACGCGTGCATACGGAGGGGCTCGGCGGGTGCCACCACAGGGCCATGCCAGGTGCAGAACGGGCCGCTCAGCCACGCTGGAGCCACCGGTGTGCTGGGCCGCGGCAGCCCCGGGGAGGGCCTGCCGGCCCCGCCTCTCGAGCACGCGCGGCTGGGCCCAGGCTCCGAGGCGGCGGAGAAGGCTGAAAGCGGGCCCGCTCTGTGGGTGTGGCAGCCAGGCCAGCAGCCGGCCGGGCTGCCTGCTCACCTTTCCTGTGAGGAAGACCACGCTCGTGTCCGTGTCATAGAAGGGGATGAGGGTGGACGGGGAGACGTCCAGGCCGAGGACTGTCACGGGCCCGGCCGCTGGCGACTCCGCCAGGTACAAGGAAAGCTGGCGCTCGCTGCGACTGAGGAGAGACGAGGGAGAGGAGGAGGGGGCCAGGTGGGCCTGGGTCTCGTGCACCGGACGGGGAGGATGGGGAAACGTGCGCTCTTACCTGTCGAAGCCTGAGACCAGCAGGTACCTGCCTCCACACACCCAGGCGACGCGGGCGCCCCGGCCTCCCTCGGGGCCCGACCCTTCCTGTGTCGGCGGAGAGGGAGGCGGCTCAGGGGAGGCGTGCCGGGCTGCCCCCGGCCCTCCCCCCTCGCAGGCAGGCAGGGGCGCTTTCTGAGCCAGCTTCCCAGCCTGCGGCAGTGCCCCACTTCCGTGCCGCGTTCCGCCCCGGCCACCGTGCGCCCTCCCACCCAGCCGAGCCCCTCACCTGCAGGGGCTGTGAGGCCTGCCGGGGCTCGAAGACCCGCACTTTGCCGTCCTTGCTGACGGTGGCCAGGTGGCGTCCGTCCGGGCTCCAGGCCAGGCTGAAGATCTGAAAGGCCCCTTCCCGTCACCAAAGGGGGTCCCCCAGCAGCCGGTGAGGGTGAGGGGAGCCGGCCCTCCTGGGTGCCGGGCCTGCTGCAGCGCTCAGGCTGTCCGGCTTCCTCCCAGGCTGGCCGAATGGGGCTGCACGGAGGCCAGGCCACCCCGGGGGACCCACCACGCGCTCCCCGAGAAGCCGAGCGGCAGGCGGGCAGCCGCCTCCCTACCTGGCCCTCGTGTCCGTCCAACCGCAGCGCCTGCCTCCCGGCGCGCACGTCCCATATCCGGACGCTCGTATCGTAGGAGGAGGAGGCCAGGATGTCCGAGGCCAGCGGGTGGAACTTGACCGAGTAAATCTTCTCCGTGTGACCTCGGAAGGGGAGGAGAGAGGGGCTGCCCTCACCGCACAGCAGTGGGAGGCAGGGACCCCCCAAATCCGGGGTGTGGCAGGGTGGCGGCAGGTCCCCAAGGAGCCCGGCCCGGCCCCGGCAGCCAAGGGCTTCCTTCCACTTCAGTTGCGCAGGGCGGCGCTCGCAGTTCCTGGATCCACGCCCCAACCCCCCGCCACCCAGGCTCGAGACGTGGCCCCTCGGCACGCCGGGCAGCGGTGACGCCCCTTACCTTGCAGCACTGCCTCGGGCTCCAGGAGCGTCTTCTGCAGCCCTCCCGCCTCCGTCCGCCACAGACGGATCCTGGCATCTTCCGCGCCTGCAGCAGGAAAGGCAGGGAGGGGAGGGAAGCACAGCGCCGCTCAGCCAGCCCTGGGCCCTGGAGAGCCCAGACGGGGCAGGCGGGGAGCGGCGCTGCGGGCTGGATCCCTCCATGGGCGCAGCCTGCCCTCCCCTTCCTCATGGGCTGCTCCTCTTCCTCGCTCACACCCCAACCTGGGCCACAGCGAGAGGCAGGGGAGCAGCCGGCTGGCATGGCCCCAGCGCTGTGCCAGGGCTCCTGCTGGCGGGCCCCGCTGGAAGCGCCTGGGCAGGTTGCTCCTCGGCCTGGCCCTGCACCTGGGAGGCCCTGGGAGAGTGGCTCGGGGTGGCAGCCGCCCTCCTGGCTCTCCATCCACCCCCCGCCTCTTGTCTGCTTGGCTCAAGGAGAAGGGAGGGCTGGGGAACGTACCGGTTGCCAGGCGTTGCGGATTGAAAGGGTCCCAGCACAGATCCGAGACGGGCGCCCCGTTCTGGATGGTGGGCATGGAAGTGTCGGGAAGGCGGCCCGGCTGGGAGAGCTGCAGGGGAGACAGCCAGGGATAGGTGGCCCTCCAGCCAGCAGGCGGCAGGGCTCCGGCCGTCCCGGCACTGCCGCTCGAGGAGTGCATGGCTCAGGCAGGTGCCCCACCGAAAGAGCCTGGCCGCCCCCGGGGTCCTTGATGCTAGGAGGGTCCCCCCACCCCGTTACCTGCAGGATGGCCACCTGCCCCCCTGAGGACAGCAGGGGGACGGCCACGTGCTGCCGGTTGGCGCAGAAGCCGTCACACTCGCCCGGGGTGGTGAGGTTCAGGCCCTTGAGGTTGGTGATGTGGGTGCTGCGGTGCAGGACGGTGCCCTGGACGTGGCGGAAGCCAGAGCTGGGCCCTGCGGGGGGCAGCGAGGGCATGAGGGGCCGGTGGGGGCCTCCTGGGGCCCCTCGTGCCAGCATCCCCAGTGGGGCTGCCCCATCCCCCCCCCAGCCAGGTGCCTCGGTGAGGAGGCGAGGAGAGGGGAGGGGCACCGAAGCGGCCCCACCAAGGTGGGTGAGGAGCCAGGGGGCAGACCTACCCAGAAGGCTTTGCAGCGAGCGCTGGCTGGGGCTGGAGGCAAAGCCGCTGGTGAGGGTGGGAGACGGCACGGCACTGGACGGGGACGCCAGCGAGCTGGAGGGGGGCGAGAGGCTGCTGCTGCCGCTGCTGCCGCCGCCGCCGCCGGCCTGTGGGGGGACAGGTGCTCAGGGCAGGTGGAACCCCGGGGCACAGGCCTGGCCGCAGCTCGGCTGGAAGGGTCAGGGTCAGGGTCAGGGTCATCCCCCCGTGGGGGGCGCTGCCCCCACGTGCCTGGCAAGGCCAAAGCACCCCAAGGAGGGGCGGCCGCCGAGGCCCACGGTGGCCGGGCCGGGAGCAGCGCATGCTCCAAGGGCCGGCGGGGGGCTGCACCCCGCTCCCTGCTGGACTCCCACAGGGCCGGGCACTCACGCTGCGCTCGGGGTCCTCCGTCCGGCTGCCGCCTCGGGTGCAGTCCTGGCCGGGGCCCTCAGGCTGGGGACAGGGCAGGCAGGCGGAGGTGAAGGGCCGGCCGGGCTGCTGGTCCGGCTGGAGGCTCACGCGCGGCACCTGGGGAAGGGCAGCGGCCATCACGGGGCGGGCCCAGCCCGGCATCGCAGGGGGAGCGTGCCGCCTGGCTCCCAGCCCCCCAAATCCACCCCTGAGGGAGCTGGAAGCCTTACAGCAGTGCGCCACATGCCGGTGCCCTCCAGGTGCATGGGACTCTGCGCCCATCCTCCTCAGTCCACACGGCCAACAGTGCCTCGCACACAGCGCTGCCATGGCCGAGGGGCCCCTCCTGGCCAGGCCCCGCTTCGCAGGCACCTCTGAGCCCTTCAGGTGCGGAGACCCTGCCTGGTGGGGGCTCGTGGCCCAGCAGCTTCCTGCTCGTCCCGGGGGGTGGGAGGATGACTAAGCTCCCTGGGCGGCCGCTGGGCCACAGGCTCCCGCAGGGCCCCCTCCAGAGTGCTGCTCGCCCCCTCCTGTTGTGACCCTCACCTGGCTGTTGTCTCCGGCCCACCAGGCTCGGGCAGATGTCGCCGGGACGCTTCCAGCGCAGTCGGGAAACAGGTCTCTGTGGAACTCCTGCGTGGACTGCAAGACACGCAGCCTCGTGTGAGCGCCATGGCCACCCTGCCCCACGGCCCCGCCGGCCCCCCGCCAGCCGCCCGCTTACCTTCCGTGGCACCACGTAGCTGACCGGGACGACGGCGCCGCTGGTCAGCTGCAGGAGGCGCAGCACCTCGCACGCCATGACGTCCAGGGCCCGCCGGGGCACGAGGGCCGCCCCCTGGGACTTGCTCTCCATCAGGCACTGGCTGACTGGCAACGGGGAGACAGCGCGGCCAGGGCCGCCGCTCTGAGGTGGCCCACGACGACGACGGTGGTGGGGCCCCCACGCCGCCAGCCCCAGTCGCCTGGCCCGGTGCGCCCCCTCCCCTGGAGCCTGACCCACGGCGCACCGCTTGGCCTTGCCCACCCTCCCCAGAAGGAGCCCCGGCCGAAGCGGTGTGGGAGGGATGCAGCACCCAGGGCCCCCGCAGGGGCAGGCCAGCTTCCCCCGCCCCGGCCAGGCTCAGCCGCCTTTGCCCGGAGCCCCGGCCGAGCCCAAGGGCGTCTGAGGAGGGGAGGGTCCGGGCGCAGGCAGGCAAGGGGGACTCACCCTCGGTCAGCGCCGGCTGGCTGGGCAGCACCTCGTAGCAGAAGAGGCCCGTCTCCCCCTGAAAAGCAACGGCTGCATCGTCTGCAGAGCCCTCACTGTGGCTCCCCACCACGGGTGAGCGGGGGGGGGGGGCACATGGCCCCATGGAGAGTGGGGGGAGACTCACCTTGCCTGCCAGGATGAGGAGGCCTGTGCTGGGGTCGAAGAGGGGAATCATGGCCCTGAAACACAGCAGGGGCACCAGTGCTGAAGGATGCCTGCCTCGGCTGCTCAAGGCCGCCTCCCACCCGCTGCAACTTCCGGGCCTCCCCCAAGTCCCTCCTCACAATCCACACTTTCCCGAGGCTTCGGTGCCATCCCTCTGGGTCCCAGATCAGCCGAAGCCAAGCTCACGTGCCCGGGCGAGGCCCCCTTCTTCTCAGCCTCCGCCTCTCTCCGGCCCGCGGCCCTGCTGCTCACTGGCACCCCCAAAGCCCCCGCCGGTGAGGGCTCACGTGGCTTCTGCCCCACACGAGAGTGACCCAACCACACACCACAATTAGCTGGGTCATGTTCACACATCAGGACAAACCAGTTCGACAACCCGTCACCGGCGCTCGTTATGTGCGAACCAAGCCTGAGCCACCGTTCAACTGATCCAGCCAAAAATCCAGGACAAAAGAGCAGGAGCAGAGCTTCCTGCCGCCTCCCCCAGCAGGGACACGCCTGGGGAGGGTGGTGTGGGGCACCCCGGGCCTCAGATGGGGGGCATGTGGGGAGCAGCCCTGGCAAGACAGTTCTGTCTGATTTGGGGTGCACAGAAGGGGGCCTCTCCCTGACCTGAGGGGACCCTTCCTTCGCTCTCGTGGAAGCCTCGGCAGCGGCAAAGGGCATTGCCCTCACGCTCCTACCCCCAGGCCTCCGCTGCCGGGGGGGGCTGCAGGGGGCCCCCGGCACCAGAAGCGGCACCCGGGAGACGTGGGACGAGCAGAGCAGCCTCCTGGCGGCCAGCCCTCCCTTCCTCTGAGGTACAGGAAGAGGGAAGTGGGCCGGAGCAGCCTGCAGGCGGAAGGCGAGGAAGAGGATGAGTGGAGCCTCTGGGAGCCCTCCTCCCGGCTGCATCCTGGCCCTGGGTGTCGGCACAGCAGCCTGCAAACCGGTCCCAGCCCTGCCTCCTCCCCAGGCAGGCTGGTCTGGTCCTCCCGCCCTCTTGCTCGAGGGCGGCAGCAGCACCCTGGGCAGGCAGCACGCCTGACTGGCTGCCGCATCATCCGGCACGAAGCTTGGGCGCGGTGCTGCCAAGCCGCACACTTGGGTGCCAGGGGGCTGGGCTGCACTCTGGCTGGGGGGGGGGGCTTGCAGAGGCCCCCTGAGCCGTGGGGCCTGCTCCATGGCCATGAGAGGGGATGGGACGCTGCACTGAGGGAAAAACCTCTTGCGGTCCCCTGCTGCCCCCCCACGGCTCCAGCCCTGCTCCACCTCCTGCACGGGACAGAGGACGCGAGCGCAAAGCAGGGCCAGCTGCGGGGCAGCACCCCAGGCGCGGGTGCCTGCTCTGCCCCGAGCCCAAAAGGGTGCCTGGCCCTGCCCTGCTGGCTGGACGGGCCCCTCGAGCCCAGAGAAGTCTGCAGGCGTGCATCCATGCACACACACGCGCACACGTGTCCTTCCGAGCGGCTGAGAGGCACACTCCAGAGTCGCCCCAATCCTTCCGCAGAGCGGCCAGACCAGAAATGCAGAACTGGCTGGGCAGGACCTGGTTTGCAGCCAGTCGGAACGACCGGCTTCTTTTGTCTGGGCTCCAGCTCCTGGTTCCGTGTTTGAGGAAAGCGCCTGCTGCACCCTTTCTTGGCTGTCACGCGGGGCTGCCTTCCCCATCCCGTCGCTGCACACCCACCGCAGGAGCGGAAGGGGTCTCCCCCTCCCCCCTGCCGGAGCGCCAGCCTCCAGCTCTCTGGAAGAGCGGCAGCAGCCCTGCTCAGGCCCGCCTGCCAACAGCCAGTGCGAAAGAAGGGGAGGGGCTGGGGGGCACCCCAGGTCGGGCAGGCTCCGGCTCCCCGTGCGGACACGGCCCCGGTCTGGCCAGGACCTGCTGCGTGGGGGCCGGCCCAGCCTCCCTGGCAGCCTGCCCAAGTGCGAAGCGCTCACCTGTGGTCCCGCAGGGGCCGAGCATGTCCTGCCCCCTCCCTGCAGCCCTCCGGACCACACCTGCCGGAGGACAGAAGTGGCCCGTTTGCTCCCAGCCTGCCAGGGCATCAGCCGCATCAACCAGAATTTGGTGCTCAGCGTTCTAGACCGGCACTCAGGCCCCACCACAAAGCTCACCCGGTGGCCGGGGCCCAGCTGCTGGGGCTTGGCCAGCCTACCTCACAAGGTCGCCATGAAATGTACCCTAACTCCTTGAGCTCTTTGGGAGAAAAGTAAGATAGCTCGGCAAGAAGCAGATAATAACAAGCAGCAGAGTTTGCCAAATCTGAGCTGAGGACGTGAAGAACCGGGGAAGGAATGCTGCCTGTTTTTCTCTGCCCCCCCCCCCCCCCCCCCCCCCCCGCCACTGCAGGCTGCCTGGGAAGGCAAGGAACTGCTGCCCGGGGCAACGGGAGCTGCTGCCAAGAGTAAAGGGGCTCTCTGCGCACCATCCCCAGTAGCCCAGGCACAGCGGAGCAGAAGGAGGGCGCATCTGGCAAGGGTCGGAGAGGGGGTGCTCGTGGCCCGGCATGGCCTGGTCTCGGGGAGAGGCACCCCGCTCCAGGTGGGAGAACAGGCTGCTCCGCTGGATAGAAACGGGCAGGGAGGAGGGGAAGGCATGTCCGGAATGGGCTCTGCATGGCCCCAGCCTCTGCTCCTCTGTTGACCTAAGATACTGAGGGAGAGAAGGCCAGGAGAACAAAAGGTGCCTGCAGGCTCCAGCTGAGCTCCAGTGCCTCTCCAGGTGGGGAGGGGAGGGCGCAGCCGCCCCTGGCTGCATTTGCCAGGGCAGAGGAAGGCTCTCCGGGTTGGTGGGCAGCCCCCTCCGCCCATGAAAGCCAGGAAAGCTCTCTGGGTGCGTCTGGCCGTGCCCGCTCCTCTTGGGATGTGGATGCCCAGCCAGGACAGACAAATGCCAACCTGGCGACTCAAAGAAGCTGCGGGGCCTGAAAGCTCTGGCCAGTCCTGCCCCCCCCCCCCGCCTCCCCATCCACAGCCCTTTCCTTGCTACCCAGCGTCAGGCCGAATGGCAAGGGGGCAGCTTCCCTTCCTCCACGGGGCAGGTGTGGGTTGCACTTTGAGGGGCAAAGAGGAAGCACGGGGGGCGGGCAACACAAGCCAGGGGACCTGAAGCCCGCAGGCCCCAGCACCTGCCAGCCGGGGCAACAAGCACCTTGGCAAAGCCCATGCCGCTGCCCCAGAAGCTTGCCCACCGAAGCCGCTGGCGCCTGAGCACGGGCCTGGGCTCCCCGGAGGTGCCGAAGGGCCTCAGGTGGGGGCCGGGCGGGCGAACGCGAGGGCCGAGAGCCGCCGCCGCCGGGCCGGACCCCGACCGGCTCGCGGATCCGGGTGCGGCGCGCCGGGCCAGGCGGGCGAGGGCCCGGCTCGGCCCGGCCGAAGCGCCGTCCAAGGCGCGCCCCTCCCGCG